GTGAGAGTGATTACATGGCTACCCATATACATACTTGGATTATCTTCTTCCCTTCTTACCACTCTTGTTAATCCAAGTAGCTGATCCTCATCATTATGGTACAGTTAACCATACCATAAACCATTCCTTCTTTCTGAACCTAAACCCTATTGTGAGAGTTGTGAGGCCTTGCATTGCATCATTTTCAATTTTTTCTTGGCAAAAAGTGTTAGGAATAAGGCTGGCAAGGAGAAGCTCTCTTGTAGACACCAGCTTGCATTTTGAGCTTGATATTAGGTTAGGAGTTTGGGAAAGGGTAGTGTAAGTGGTTTGAGCTTTAAATGTTTACATCTTTTGACAAGAAGAAGTATTGGGTTGGTAGTATGGGGGAACAATTTATTTTGTGGTTAAGTTAATTAAGAAGAAAGCTCTAAGTGTTAAAGAAGAAAGGTGCCAACAACAACAAAGCTTACAAAAGGTCATCCAAAAGGAGAAATCAGACCAAGCGATCCACCAAAGGTGATGAAAATGGCGCCAATCATACAACAAAAAAGAGCAAGTTCCAAAAAGAAGTCAACCACACAAGAAAAAGAAGAAAGAGTTTCCCCAAATATGAAGAAGGAAGAGATCAAGTACATTGGGAAAGGGTAGATTTAAGAGTTTCACTTGGGGTTTAAGAAGTTATTAGGTTAATCTTGGGTAAAAAGGGTATAAGAGAGCTTTAACTTGCATGCATAGGTGTGCTTTTACCTTTAGCATTTTGTCTAAGATAGAATCACTTCATTGAGTGATCCCCTGAATCTTTGAACCCTTATTTGAATGAGATCATTTTCATCTCATAACCATGTCCCTTGACCAAATTTTTTCTCTTGATTTGCACAAACATGATCCATTGGTTACTGATTAATGAATGTTAAAGAGTTGGTTGATTTCAATGCTTGTGTAGGCTAAGCTAGAGTTCATTGTTTTCTATGATAGGTATGGCAAAAGCTTTTAAAGTAGAACTATCTCTATGCATCTTAGAACCTATAACTTGGGCATTGAATCAGTTTTTCCATTGACATCTTTGGTTTTGAGCTCCCACTTTCAAACCTCATTCTCTCATTTGTTCTTGTTTGCTTGAGGACAAGCAAAAGGCAAGTGTGAGGGTGTTTATATACTCATTATTTACACCATATTAGCATACATTTTGCATTGTTTTATAGTCTTTAAACATTCATTTTTGCTTGCTTTTGTCCCATTTGCATCCAATTAGGACTTAGTGTAGATTTAGGGTGTGCATTGCATGTATTGTGCATTTGGGGAGTTTGGCAGGTATTTTTGGAGAGTTTTGGGGCTACAAGGAGCATGGGAGATGATGGTGGGTGCAGCATAAGACATCAAAAGAGCCAAGAAGAAGGTGCACCTTGTTGAAGCGGCAAGAAACTTTACCTGACAAAACCGCCTCGGAAAAAGCATCTCCATCCCGATTAAGGATCAACAGTCTTCATCAATGTTGTATCCCCGTGCGTTAGCTTTCGTCTGGAGTTGGTTTCAGGTCATTCTCATAAGCGGTTAGAAAGTTACAGAAGTTTTCGTGAAACCGCTTAATCTCCATCAATCAAGCCCATCGATCAAGGGGTGCTCGATGGGAAACCATTGGATGCTCTACCGATCAAGTGTATCGATCAAAACTGATCGTTAGGAGCCTATCGATCAAGCCTATCGATCAAATGAGTTCTTTATATACGAATAATCTCTAATTTCTGAGAACAGTCTTTTATCCAGTAGTTCTTCCTCTTTTATTTTGGCTTTTGATTTTGTAATTTGAATCTCTGCTTGATTTCAATATAAGTTTGCTTTTATCTTCTTGCTTAATCTCTTTAATCATGATTAGCTATCTTTTTTTCTTTGAATTGATGGCTTTAATGGTGCTTAGTGAATAGTCTTTTTAGGGAATTGAGATGCGTTAGGTTTAAGGAACTTTAGGCTTAATCTTTGATGTCTTAGTGCTAATTATTCCATTTCCGTTCTTGATTGCTGCGTTTAATATCTGATTAGCCTTAGCTAAGTTGATTAGGATTTTAGGCTCATTTTATGCCCACCAAGTGTTTGATGAAATGCCTGAACTGCTTTGCAAGAGTATTGTTTATCCTGGCTCAAGAGATTGACTGTCTAGGGAGTGATTTGGCAATATATGATTGATAGATTGTCTTACTGCTTTCTGTTTGTCATTTCACTAATGAGAATTAGTTCTTGACTTGGTAATTAGCAAAAAGTTTAGTGCCAAGAGATTGGATTAGTCTTATAATTGAATTCTATGCATAATGAATAGCATTGTGTGAGTTTGTAAGCATCATAGGTTGAGTTAAGAGTTCCCTAGCACCAATTATCTCATCTCAAGTCCCATCTTTTCTCTGTTTCTAGTTGAATTCGAAATTTCTCTGTTTTGCCTTTGTTTTAGTTGCTTTGCTTGCTTTTCATTTTTGTTTGATGTTCTCTTCACTTCTGTTTGATCATTTAGGTTGTTAGACATTTCAATCTTATCTATATCTGCTTGAATTAAGAGCTCTATTGCCTGTTTTAATCTTTCCCTTTTGGATTGATAAAACCCTTACTACAATGATTAGTACAAAGGATGATTGACCAAGAGAGTCAAAACTCTTATATCATAGCCTCCACCTTAAAATAATCTGTGATCTGCTTAACGAGGGGCATGTGGGTCGTGACCGGATTCTCAACGTTGTTGTCTCTGCATATTATTGGCCTTCCCTGCGTCGTGACGTTGAGAAGTTTGTGTCACGCTGCCGCGTATGTCAATTGGCTAAGGGATCAGACGTCCAATACGGGACTGTATTTGCCTCTCCCAGTTCCGTCTCAGCCTTGGCCCTATGTGAATATGAACTTTGTCCTCGAATTACTGCAGACTCAACGGGGGGATTGCTCGATTTTTGTTGTTGTCGATAGATTCTCTATGATGGCGCATTTTGTGGCCTGCAAGAAAACGGCGGTTGCTTTGAATGTTGCTTTCTTATTTTTCAAGGAAATCTACCTTCTTAACGGTCACCTTTAATGATTGTTTCGGATCATGATATGCGTTTCCTTATCCACTTCTGGATGAGTACAGCCTATCATCCTCAAACAGATGGTCAGACTTGAGGTAATAAACCGGGCTTTGGGTAATCTGCTGCGTTGTTTGGTGGGTGACAACACCAAGAGTTGGGATGTCACTTTTCATAGCTGGGTTGTTTGGTTGACCTTGCTCCCGTTCGAGATAAAACACGTTTACAGGACTAGGCCGTGGAGTTTGTTGATGATGTGCAAGCCATTCACCATCAAACTAAGGAGAATTTGGAGCGTGTGAATGCAAAGTATAAAGAATTGGCAGATGAGAAGCGTCGAGAGTTGCGTTTTGAACTAGGGGATCTTGTCTGGGTCGTCCTCACCAAAAACCGTTTGCCGGCGCATGAATACAATAAACTCAAGTCTCGAAAAATAGGTCACGTCGAGGTTCTTCTGCAAGGTTCTTCTACGGATCAACGACAACGTCTATCGCCTCTGTTTATCTCCTCACATTCGTGCAGCTGACATCTTTAACGTCAAATTTTTGTCACCATTTCGCGGCGACAATCCGGAGCCAGATTCAAGAGCGAATCTTCTCAAACTCGGAGAGACCTGATGAAGCGCAGATCCGTTATGGTCGGACACTCCTTTCACTTTCGTGTGTTTGACAAGTGTTCGTTTAATAGCTTATCCGTATATCCTTTTCGTTTTAAGTTATTGGCTTTGGGATAATTACAAATCCTATTAAGATAAGGTTCTTAAAAGATCCTATGTGATCTCGTCTTCTTATTTATAGGATGTTTTTCTTCTTTGTGTTCTTCAGTCTTGCTTTGATTAAAATCAATAAAAAACCAAAAAGAAGAAACTTAAGTTTCCAAGGTTGTCTACCGAATGCTATCCAAATCCGAGTTCTCTTGGAGATCTCGAGTTCGATCTCTTTCTGTAGCTTCCGCCCCCCATGAGATACACCGGAGGAACAAGATGATTAGTCGAATTGAATAAAAAATGGCAAGAGATGAAAAAACTTAACTGTTGTCAACCACCATTTGCTCCTCATGCATTACCGTACCCAAATCTAACCCTAAATGAAGCAATCACGGCTATATAAACAGAGAAAAGTTTATCACCGGATGAGAATCCTTTGCCATCCTACACGGTGGAGGAAACACATCCACGACCATAGTTGATTTTGCTTCGTTTTTGGACTACACCGATGAACACAATAACGCAGCGATTATCTTAAACCATGTCCACGGCAGTTCAAATTCGGCCAACCGATCAATTGCTCCAATTTCTCCACATCGCTATAATGAGAAACCACCGAACGTTTTCTCGTACGCCGAAACGTCCAGGCGCCCGCGTTTTTAAATTAAGCTTATTGCTAAGGCGCAATGAAAGTTGACCAATACATTACAATTAACGCCTCCAATAACCAGAAATGTTACCCCATGTGTACGGCTCACCACTAGAAATTTCACTCCACGTGTACGGCTCCCCACCAGAAATTAACGCCTCCGATAACCACACATAAATTGAACTAAAAGAGAACGACCACAAAAAAAACTTCACAAACGGCAAAAAAAACTAATTTTCTTTTGAAAATCGACCAAGAAGAACAAAAATGGCAACGAGAGGAGCTGTTGCTGCGTGCTTAATATTGAAGCACCGAAGAAACCCTTCGTTTCGATCAATTTCATCGCAATCGCACCGTTTCAATCCCAAATTCAATCCTCAAATCATCCAAGCAGGTACAAATTTCTTATAATTATTCATGTTTAGGATTCGTCAAATTCGGCGTTAGCATTTCACATTCAATTGGTGTATTTGTTTTTTTCTTACTAGGGTTTAGATATCAAATTAGGGCAATACAAGGAGCAAGTGCTGATCCTGTTGCACAATTGAAGTACAACGATGATCCAAAACAAAAACCTAAGAATTGGAAAATCAAAATGCTTTACGACGGAGATTGCCCTCTCTGTATGCGTGAGGTCTTATTACGAAACCTCTGTTTCAAATGTTTCCAACGAGTTGTTTTGTTTGAATCTGAATTGTTCTGTTTTTTCTTGGGTTAAAAAGGTTAATATGCTTATGGAGAGGAATGAGAAATATAGAAGTATAAAATTCGTCGACATAAGTTCCAATGATTATTCTCCTGAAGATAATCAAGGGCTTGATTACAAAACAGTAATTCTCTATCTAACCAGTTTCAATTTGTATTATCCTCTGCTTTTTGATGTTGAGATTCGATTTGATCGAGATCTGTTATTAGGTAATGGGAACAATCCATGCGATTCAGTCTAATGGAAATGTGGTAACTGGTGTTGAGGTAAAGCTTGTTTTGCATCTTTGTTTTAGGCTAGGGGTAGGCATTCCGTTATACAGTTCGGTTTGGAGGTTATACAGTTTGGTTTGGTTCGTTATTTAAATTTTGGTTTTTTCGGGTTCTAGAAAATAGGTTGCATTCAGGATTATCTATGATTCAGTTCCCTTCTGGTTTTAAAAATTAAATTTTACTCGGCATCTAATTTGATTTTTGTTTACTTTAATTCAGCTTTAGAAAAAATTATAATAAGAAAACAAAAGTAAATAATTGTTGTTCAAAACTGAACAGAAATATTAAACCGTTAAAAAACAGTTTTTAATTAAAATTGTAGTTTTTCAATATATTTTTATATTTGCAGAATAATATTAATTTAATGAATTTCCGTTAACTATAGTTCCGTTTCATAAAGTTCGTGGTTCGTTCGGTTCACGAATGGTTATTTTGGTTTACAAATTTTTATTACATCCAGATTATTCGGTTCAGTTCGGTTTTGAGAATTTCGGCTCGGGTTTGAAATTACTAGTTCGGTTCAGGAATTTTTCCCAACCCTAGTTTAGGCTAATCCATTTCATATTATCTTTGATGTTTCTTTTGGTGGAACGTTTTTAGGCATTTAGGAGATTGTATGAAGAGGTTGGTCTTGGATGGGTTTACACTATCACCAAATATGAACCAGTAAGCCTCTCATTCTCCTCTCTAATGATCTTTTGCAAGATCAAATCTACGAGAAGCTTTTGGTTTGATTTTCACAAATAACACACGACTGTTTGCAGATAGGGAAGGTGGCTGATGCTGTGTATGAGTTCTGGGCTAAATATCGACTTCAAGTCACAGGTATGAAATGAGTCTGAACATGTTTAAACTTTTGTCGAGATTGTTTAGTTATATTTGCTTTAAAGAACTCGATATCTTTGTTGATTAGGGCGGCCATCTATTGAAGCTATTCTTGAAGCAAGAAAGAAAAATAAGGTAAGAGAAATGAAACTCACAGAGTGAAAAACTCGATTATCGGCTTTTCTGTAGCCAAATTTACTCGGTTTTCAATGGTATGATTGTGAATGCAGGTCGAGACATGTGTTGATAGCAAGAAGTGCAAGATGTGAATTGTTTTCACAAAATACTTTTGAATTTACAAATACCAAAACCAGTTTGGAGTTACATATTATTACAATATAACTAATAATAAAAATGGATTATTTAAATAAAAAAATTTGAAGCCCTATAATTTAAGAAAAATTTGCTGCCTTACACCAATATTTATTTTGATTAATATAGGGCACAGCTCTGTTCGGAATGAGAAACTATATTCGAAAACTATATTCGGAAACTATATTCGGAAACTATTTATACTATTAAAAGAGAATTATTATTTTGAAATCTCCAAAGCTAACGTGTTATTACATTTGCTAGACAATTTCGTTAATTCATGAAGGGTAATTTAGTTATATCATTAAAATGTTAACAAATATATTAAATTAAATTAAATTATATTAGTTTGTTAACAGATAACATCAATACTAATCAAATTTAAATTAATTTAATTTCAAAATTATTTCAAAATCTTTTATAATATCTTAATATAATTACTATATATATGGCAAGAATAACTAATATAATTATATATATTATATTATAAATTAAATATATATTATATTATAATCAATTTGTTTTCTATACTATTAGAAGAAAAGCACTACTTTAATGTCTACAAGCTACTATGGTATTTACTAAATGTTTAATGTCTACAAGCTACTATGGTATTTACTAAATGTGACAACTTATAATCAATCATAAATATGTAACCATTATTTTTTTGTTACATATATACATACTATGAAAAAATATTATGTAAATAATTTTTTTCCTAGTTTGTTAATGATTTTTATTTTGCGGAAAATCATGGGTTTGTGGATTTGACAAACATATTTTTGTAGATTTTACGGGTTTTAAAATATTTAGTGGGTTCTATAAGTTTTAGAGGAAAATATAGTTTTACGAGAAAATGACGTTTTGACAAGAAATATGCTTTTGTATATTTAGTAGAAACACATGATTTTAGAATTTTGGTCGTAAATCACAATTTTGCAGATATTAGGGGGTTTACGGAAAATATGAGTTTGCGTAATGCGAGTAACGCAATTTTGCAGATTTTATGAGTTTTACAGGTTTTAGCGGGAAAATGTAGCCATACGGGAAAACGCGGGTTTGTGGGTTTGAAAACTCGATTTTGCAGGTTTGGGAGTTTTACAGTAAATTCGGATTTGTGGATTTGGCGGGAAACATGTTTTGGCAGGTTTTATAGGTTTTGATGGAAAAATATGGTTTTATGAATTTTATTGAAAATAACGAGAAACACAATTTTGCAGGTTTGACAAAAACATGTAATTTTTGAAATTTAGCCAAAGAAAACGGTTTTATGGTGTTCGGGAAACATAATTTTTTCGTTTTATGAAAAATATGGGTTTGCAGTTTTGGCAGGAAAATACGGTTTGATGGAAAATGCTATTTTTACAGTTTCTACGGAAATTACCGGTTTTGGTACAACAACGTGATTTTATAATTTTGAAGGAAAATGCAGCTTTTTATTTAGATAGAAAACTCTGATTTTATAGGTTTGACAAAGAAAAGTTGATTTTGTGGTTTAAACTAAATGGTGTTTTGATCTTTTAATTTTTCAGATTCAAATGCTGCATTCAAACTTTTTTTTTAGCATCCTAAATATCCAAATTTTAAAATATTATATATTTTACATCTAGATATAATATCCATATACTGATTTAGAAATATTTAAAAATTAATATTTGAGCATTTGCTTCCAAATAAGTATTTGGATGCAAAAACAAACAAAGCCTAAGTAAATATTGAAATTTTAATTACAAAGAAATAAAATCTCTCTTGCTTTAGAAAACATAATATTTTGAAATATTTATTACAAAACTTAACAGAAAATCTGCTAATAGATTGTTTTTTTTATAAAATCAAATCTAAATACTTTTAAGAACATAAAACTATAATGTAAAAATAGTTTATATAATCTAATAAAACAATTCCGTTTGGACCACAATTTTGAATTTTTAATAATATAAACTAATTTTTTTAAACAAAGGTTTAATATAAATCAATTTTTACTGTAACCCAAAAATATCTTATAAAAATAAGGACATCTAAAACAAGACAATCTACTTTGTTCATTGGCATGTCAAACCCATGGTTAGTGGTGTATTTACCAACAAACAAGCAAGAAGCACAAGGTCCATAAAATCTAACAAGTTCTCATACCTCCACTTTTGATGGCTTGTGTGATTACTTATCACTTGCTGGAATATATCAGACAACTACTCAGTGGTTAGGTTTATTGCAGTTATCTAAGGGCAACTTTCCACCAATGGGTGATGCAAAGACTCATGACATTCTAAGCATCTATTTCAAGACTTAAACCATTAAGACATTTCTTCAAGCACTTGGAGTGCAGGATAAAACGCCCAGGATTCTTATCTAATCCAAAGAGGTACTAGGCATTAAAGATAAATTCATCAAGAAGAGGAATGAGATCTAGCAACCTAACACATCAAGCATCCAAAAGAAACACTTTTGCATCACAAAAAATCATGATTCTCTAAAATAACTCAAACTCTAAAGAGCAAATTCGAAATTATTAAAAGCAAGAACAAGACTAAAGATTAAAGACTTATGATTAAAAGAAGTAGAAAACATAAATAAAAGTATACACAAGTGATCCAGTCTCAACCTACAAAGGATTTGTTCTTGTTCTATGAAAAACCAAAACAAAGCTTTGGAGAAGAGAAATGATAAGAGAAAATAGATCTAGGTTTAGGTTTAGCTATTTATAGAGAACATCCCCAAAATAGCCTTAGGAAGCAAAAATAAAAAAGTCAAAGATGGTCAAAGATGCTTTTCGGACAAAAACCTATCGATTTGAAGGAAGGAGGTAGGAGATCGATGTGGTGATCGATAGGAACTTCTGGTTGCGGACAGTGATGTTTGAACCGCCGTATCTTTTGAAATACGGATCGGATTGACATGATTCAACCTCCGTTAGAAATTGCATTCGATCCTCTACAACTTCTATGAAGGACGTGGAGGCTGAATCTCACCGGAAGATCTTCGTTTTTACCCATACATTTCATATCGATCTGCACATCGGACAGATTTCTCTCAGCTTTGGTCAATACATGACTTTGGTGCAGCCTAAAACCCGTCATCTTGGCTATTATTCTTGGTTCTTCATGTCCTCATCATTCACCATTCTCCAAATGTCTTCCTTGCTCCATTTAGACCTGAAAAAGACTCCAAACAATGTAAAATATGCAAATGTCTAACCTTAAACCTATTATGTCTAATATGAATGCAAATGTGACAAAACATGATGAATGAATGCATGAAAGAGACCAAAAACTAAACTAAATGCAAGCTAAAACAAGGTAAATTATGGGGATAACACAAATCTAGGCATGTTATTGTTTTTTTCTAGCAGATTCACCATTTAGATGCTTCATATTAGAGTAATAATGTTGAATCTGGTGCATCTTTATAGTTTGGTGGAGAGAAGATGACATTTTTGCTGCATATGCTTGAATTTGGTTAAAATCACTGCTTGTTGCTTCTTGAGTTTTAATTTTTTTTGTGTTCATCCTTTTGAGATGAAAAGTTTTGCTAAATTCGCCTCTGTTTGTTTCCATTATGTGTGAATTTGTATAGAATTTTCCCGTGCATGTTTGATTTTTGGGAAATAATTTTCTGCACAGTGCTCTAAGGGAACATATTGCTAATTTTTGCTTTAAACCATGTGTTTTCAGGTATTATGTCGAGCAGTGGAGTAGATGAGGAAATTCTGGACTCAAGTGCACATGCAAGAGACAGAGCAGAGGGTAAAAAGCCAGTGGTTGAAGAAGAGCATGTTCCTGATGCAGCACCTAAGCTTAAGGACTACATGAAGGAGATGAGAAGAATGGACTTTGCTCAAACAAGATGTGCTTGTCCTGGTTTGTTAAAAGAGTTGGGAATCAAGGCTGGAGTGGATGAGCTGATAAGCAAGATGGAGTGGATGAGCTGATAAGCAACATTGGGCTTGAGAAATTTGCTAGTCTTGGGTATCCCACTTACAAGCAACTCTCTTGTGAATTCCTTGCAAGTTTCAAGGTCTACTTCTACAAGTATGATGAGGAGTATGATGAGAGAGAAGAAGACTATGGCAATGGGTTCATAAAATTCAGAGCCAACAGAGCATGGTACACTATGAGATTCACTCAGCTAGAGGAGATATTTGGCTTTGATCAAGGTACAAGAGCACAAGCTATGAGCTTCAAGCACAATGAGCTCAAGCATGTTTGGGAGGAGATAGCAAATGATGCTTACAAGGCTGGTCATCTAAGAAGTGCAAGCATCCGCCATCCAGCTATCAGATATGTTCATATAGTCATCACAAGCACACTCTTCCACAGAAAAGAGCAAAACATGGTCAAGGAGGAAGAGATGGGATTGGTAGTGAATAGTTTGAAGAACATCATGATGGAGACAAGGCATGGCATAATACATGGAGAGCGCCTAGGAGTTGGGCTTGTCACTATATTCGTGTCTGGTCAAGTCAACAGTCATTTATGTCTTATTTTTTGTTTTCTCTTGTATTCTAGTATTTTCTACATTTAATGTAAGTCCAAGGGATGAAATTGTGTTGTAGTTCCTCTATATAATGAGGCCTATTACCAATGGAATAGACACAGAGTTGTCAAGGAATTTGGAGAGTCTTTGTGACCCCTTTTTGATATGTTGATCATTTTACCTTTATCCTTTGATTTTGGGAGAGTCATTGATGGTGGTTTTCGAGCATCTTTATCACTTAGTGGTGGAAATTTTATCTAAGTGTGCTGCTAGCTTAACAGGTTTCTTTATCAGCTCTGTTGCTTTGGCTTTACGAGTTGTGGTGATCCCGATCTTTCTATCTATCCGGTTACGTCCATTCAACATTTGCTACCACTTCACTCTAAACGCTTCCTGCATAACAAATCAGAAGTGGGGGCTTGTACTTGAACAGATCCTGCAAAGAGGATTCTCCTTCTTCAGATAGAGGCTTCTCAACCAGCTT